AGACCTTGGAGAATTTGGGGTCGGCGGCCCGAAGAGGCTTAAAACTAAAAAAACGTCTAGATTCTTGAACTGTGAACTGTGGGGTATTGGGCTTTGGGTTTCAGGTCTCTGCGTTGCACTGCTAGCGCGGCCTCAGCCTAAGAATTAGAACTAAGCCTCTTGCGGCCCACCTAGCAGACTAGACCCTAAACCCCAGACCCCTTGGAAACTGAGCCCAAAAATCGACTTCATGTATCCGATGCTACGATGATCCCCATGGCTCCATATGGACACTGATTTTGGGTTTAGGTTAGGGCTTTCTTGCCGCCTGTTCGGTCCAGTTAGCCCCCAAGAACTGCACATGCTAACCGCTCTGCAGGTATGCCCGCAATACAATACTCGGAGTTCTGCCTCCCCCTACAACAATTAGGATCCCCCTCAACCCTCCGCCCCCCCCCCCCCCCCCCCCCACTTCGGCTTAGTCTAGCTGAACTTGCTGAACCTCAAGCGTTCCAGGGGTTTCGGCTTTCGTTACACCTTCTGAACCCTAGGGGTTTCGCAGCGGGGAGACCCTCCGACAGATTCTGCGGCTGCACATAGGCGTACGAACCTACGCATACCGAGTTACCAGGTTGCGGGTCAGGACTTTTTTCGTGTATAGATACCAGATCATGGAGCCATGGGCAATACAATGCCCTTCCACGAACCAGAAATCCTGGATGGGTTTAGGGTTTAGGGTTTAGGGTTTAGGGTTTAGGGTTTAGGGTTTAGGGTTTAGGGTTTAGGGTTTAGGGTTTAGGGTTTAGGGTTTAGGGTTTGAAAATACTGAGCACGCCCAAGCCCCCAACAACCCCACTCCCCGGCCTTGTCGCCAAGTTGCGGATGGAGCTCACAGTAGAGGACCTAGAGCGTTTAGGGAGCACCAAGGGTTTAGGGCTAGGGTTTAGGGTTTAGGGATCGGGTTTAGGGTTTAGGGTTTAGGGTTAGGGTTTGGTGTAGTGGCAAAAATGGTCCGCACAGCGGGCTTTGCCGTCGTATCAGTCTTATCTTTGGACAGTTCTTGCGGAAAGACAATTCTTAGAATCCCCGTTGATTCTTTGTTCTGGGGTTCTTTGCCTTGATCGGAAAAAACCTTAAAAAAAACCCACCAAAATCCCGCCCCAAGATTGGAAGGAAAAAACATAAGAGAACCCAGGGGGTTTGTAGGGAACATCGGGAAAATGCAGGGAACCGGTCAACGGCAGAAAATCGGGAAAACGCAGGGACAAAAATGAGGAAGATGTAGGAACTGGCCGAAAACCAGCGGCGGAAAATCGGGAAGACGTAGGAAAATGTAAGCGGCACAAAATCGGGAAAACGTAGGGAAAACGTAGGGGGCCGGCCCAAAAACTGGGAAAACCTAGGGAAAAGCTAGGGAACACGTCGGGAAAACATAGGGAGCCTTCGGCAGAAAATCGGTAAAAGGCAGGGGAAATTTGGAAAACAGAAACAACCCGGGGCTTGCGTAAACAAAACTAACAGGTTGCTTCAGTGGCTTTTTGTCAGGTTTTAGTGGGTGTTTGTCACGGGTTTTTGTCAGGTTTTAGTGGGGTTTTGTCCGGTTTTATTGGGGTTTTGTCAGGTTTTTGGGGGGGTTTGTCAGGTTGGGGTCGGATCCCTGCTCGGTTAAGAACCCCCACACAAAGAAGGCATGGACGCTGTTCTCTGAGCAATGTCGAATGCTTCAACGGCGAGGCCACCCCCCCGGCGGTTTGCGAAACAAAGACGCTACCCTAAACCCTAAACCCTAAACCCTACACCCTTTTTTTTTACAAACCCTAAACCCTAAACCCTAAACCCTAACAAAGGAGTCCATGGTAAACGGCCACTTGCTTCGCTTCTGGGAGCCGCACCGAGGTGGTCGCCGAGTCGTCGTGATGCGCCAGGTACCCCGCCTGACATCTAGACACAATGAGCGTACGTAGGTTTGGGGTTTGGGGTTTAGGGTTTAGGGTTTAGGGTTTGGGGTTTAGGGTATGGGGTTCATGGCTTAGTTGTCCAGTAACCTGGGGGAATTAAAGGCTCACCTCTGGAAGTATAAGGGGATTATACTACCCCAAACGGGTTAAAGGTTACCTACTCTACTACTAGGTGAGACCAGATCTCAGCACAATGAGGGGGGGGTTTTCACTCCTGCAAAGCTAGGGCGAATCCACATCGCAGGGCGATTACGAGGCATCAGTGGGTCTGTTTCTGCGCAGCAGCATCACCACAAAAGCAATCACAGAGAAGTAAAATAAACATATCCCCCCTGATCCCCAAACAGAATCGATGCTGCTGACATTGGCTCGCTCGATCAGGGGTTCCCTGATCCTCCTACCCCTACTCCTCTCACTTGCCAACATAGAAAGACAAAGGGTCTCAAAAAACTCTCGCAACCAAAATACAACCAGAACCACGACGTAACACAGGAGAGGAATGGGCAACCAAGCCAGCCCGGGGGGGGGTTACGGTTTAGGGGTTTAGGGGTTTAGGGGTCTAGGGGTTTAGGGGTTTAGGGGTTTTTAGGGGTTTAGGGGAGATTTCCCCCTGCAGCTGGGGCTATCCTTCTGACGACTAGCACCTTGGAATGGAATCCGAAGACACGCACGCGCAACCTTTTGGAGGACATCATGAACCCCCTATATAACAGGGTTTGTGGTCCATATACCTTAAGGGATTCTGAGCGGATGGGGTATATGAACCCCACCGTCTGGTCCAGTTGGGCCCCAGAAGAGCCATGTGTGCAGAAATGGGAGGTGCAGCCGATTGATCCCAGGAAACCGAAGCCAATCAGAATAACATCCACCAGAATTAAACCCTCAAGTCCCCAAGCCCTACACCCTAAACCTAAGTCGCTAAATCTGAAACCTTTGACGCCGCAGCTCTTTGGAATCTTTTCGACAGGAGTGCTTCTGGGGATCTGGGAACTCTTCCCTACCAGGATGACAGGCTCTTGGGAGATCTTACAACCTGTAAAAACACAACACACACTCCGCATGTTTCAGTAAATCCGCAGATTGTCTTTCGACATCTGGACACGGTGCTAGAAGCCTAAACACCAAACCCTAAACCCTGTTGACAATTCAGCCAGCGAGCCATAATTCGGCGACTGGTCGTTGGCACCTTGGAGTGCTTCTAGAGCTCTCCTGTATCTTCAACCCCATAAACCCCTAAACTGGACAAACCCTAAACTGCCCTAAACTGCCCTAACAGGGTTTTAAACCCTAAGCCCTGAAACCTAAAGTGGTGCCTTGAAGGAGTTGGAGGTTTGCGGGTTTTCAGTCGGATGGTGAATACTTGTGTCTAGCTATCACACATGCTTGGCATGCTGTACTGATCCGTCTGTTGATGGCTTACTCATGAAACCCTGAACCCTAATCCTAAAACCGTTTGAGTCATCCGTAACTCTGGGGTACACAGGCCCTTCAAAATTTCAGGTCACCGGGGGCCCGAGGCATGTTTTAGCGATTCTGTCCCCTGGGACCGCTGGCGTCGGGCAGCGGCTTCACGGCAATCTGGAAGACCGGAAACAATGACTGAGTGACCTGAACTAAGGGTTTAGGGTTTAGGGTCTAGGGTTTAGGGCTTGGGGGCCTTTAGGATTTCGGATTTTTTCGGGTTTATCTGGCGAGAGGGATCCCTCCAGCTCCCCCTCGCTTACACCTCCGCAATTGTTTGGGGAGAAGTACAGCCAACAAGGGGAATGGGCTCGTGGCTTCGTATCCGCCCTTTGCTCCTTCCAGTGTCCATCCTCGTCCATCTACTCAGGCCAAACTAGATGTTGTTATGTTTTGCCATTCCTTATCATCTGCTTGTTATGTAAGTATGGAGCTTACACCCTTTGTGTGCAAGAACCCCTAAGTCTGGCACAAGCACTTTCTTATAAGGAAACGAGATGGTCCTTCTTGCGAGTTGAGCCTCTAAGCTGCACGACGTCTACTTCTCTTGTGGTTAGGGTTTAGGGCTTCTAGGGTTCTTTTTTCGCTCCCGCAAGTGCTTGGGGTTTAAGTTGAGGGTGTGGTGTAGCTTGATCTCTTCTTTCCTTACCTTGCTTCACTCTAGGCTTTGCACGCCCTCTTTTGTTCTCGGATGCTTGGGCTTGTCCGTTTCGACGGGGCTTGCGAGGGTTGACCACGGGCTCCTAAACCCTAAACCCTTTTGAACCCGGGCTCTCTGACGTGCAGGCACCCTAAACCCTAAACCCTAAACCCTAAACCCTAAACTCACAGGTTGCTGGCGATGGCTGCTTGCCCTTTTGCGGCAGGGCTCTCTCAAGCAGCCCCAAATCCCAAGCTCATGGAGCAGAGGATCACCGCTGGGTGTCAGGCTAAACGAACAGCTCTGGAGATGTCCATGACCTGCAGCCGATATGTATATGCATATAATTATATATATATATATATATATAGTTATATATATATATATATTCGTATATACATATAACATATATAGATATAGAAAGCAATTGAATATAGCAAACCAAATACACATAAGTTATACCATGTAAAAATACCACGCATAGAAACATGTCGTATGTTGCAAGTATATTTCTCTCTCTCTATATATATATATATATGTATATGTATTGTATATGTATTTGTGTGTGTGTGTGTGTGTGTATGTATGTACGTATGTATGTATGCATGTATGTGTGTATATATACTGTTCTTATAATAATAATAAAAATTTGCCGAAACTCCCAAACAAACTTCAACGCCTAAAAACCGGCAAGGCTGAGGGATCTATTCGAGATCATGTGGCCCAGTTGGATCTCTTCTCGTCCGCCCCCGACTCGTCGTCCAAGGCTGGCACCTAAGTCGAAGGGGGCGCCTTCTCTTGAGCTCCGCGTTGTGGGTTTCAGGCTGTTTTTTTTTTTTTTTTTTTTTGGGGGGGGGGGAGGCCTTCTTGCAGGGTAGTTTGGGCACTTCGTCAGAACATGCTCAGTGAACTACTCAGCAGGACTTTTTCAATGGCGTCGCTGCTCTGGAACACGTGCGCGGCTATCTTCTGAGGAAACCTTTGGCTTTCTTCTGAGCGGAAATGGTCAGGGGTCCTTTGATCCTCCATTTCCACGGCTGGCCCTGATAGGTGTTCTTGGCCTGAGTGGTCGTGGCCCCGCTGGGGTTCCAGACGCGCCATCGGAAGTGTCCCTGGCTGGCCATCGTCGGGCTTCCTGTAGGGTTTCCGGGCCGAGCCGGCTTCATCCATGGCCGTCGCGCAGCCGGGGAATTCCAAGGATTGGGGCCCAAAGTTCGGCCGGGAGTGGGTTTGGCCTGGATGAGTCGGAGGCAGGCCGCGTAGGCCTCCGCAAGCTCAGCGAAGGTCTCCTGGGCATTCGCGCGCGTGGGACACGCGTCGGGATGAAGGCAGCGAGCCAGCTCATGGTATCGCAGTCTCAGCTCCTCCTTTGACGCTTGAGGGCTGAGTCCCAAGATTTCATGGCAGCTGCGCAGTCCCCGAAGCACCATGGCTCGCCACATGTTGTACCCAGCGGCTATGGAATGTTTTGGGGGCTCTGCAGCTGAGGGTTCGTGGGTTCACGGCTGTGCCAACTATGGGGCATCTTTTGTTCACATGTGGATGTTGCCCTTTGACCAGAGGTGCCACTAGACTTGATCCAGCTTCGCCCTTTGAGCAGAAAGCCTCGGCACGCGATACCGAATTGACGAAGTGCTGATGTGGGCGGGTTGGGTTCATCGACCCGATGAGACTCAAGCCCCACACACCGCCACACATCGCCACACACCGAAGAGGGGGCATGCCGAGTTCACTCCGAACTTCTGAAGGCGACTTCTCTCACCGAGCCCCCGGCACCAAAGTACAGGCAAACGCCGTGCGTGAACATCGAAACCTGCTGAGCAGAAAGCACTTCTACTGCCCATCCCCCTGAAACCCTAAACCCTGAACCCGCAAACTCTGTCCCAGCAATAAACCTAACATCTGGTCTCAATGTACTGCTTCTCATTGCTTCTCCCTCTTTCCCCTGTCCTTGAAGCAGCGGAACTTCGCAAGGTCAATGCCCTTCTGGGTGACTGCCTGCACCCGCATCCGAAACCCCCTGTTTGCCTAAACAAATCAACAAGGAAATGTTTTGTATGTGTACAATATAAGGTTTACTTATGTTGTATGTGTATTTAGTGAATGAAGTTACACAGACGATTGAATTAACTACGCGCATACACACACATGCATGCATGCATGCATACATCCGATGAACCCATGCTCGAACGCACGCACGCCTCTCCCTCCCTCCCTCCCTGTCCGACCGGGGGGGGCCTGAAACTTGCAGTTCCGCACCATCACGAAGGGCGGGAAGGAAAAGGAGTGCTGGCAAAGCTTCCGAGTCTTAAGGGCTTCGAGGCGTTTTAGGCATTTTAGGGCTTGAAGGATTGTTCTGGTCTAATCGCTCACACTCGGACACGCCGGGTGGTTATGGTTTGGGGTTTTGGGTTTCACGGCCTAAGGGCTTTACCTGGTTTAGGCTTGAGAATCTAAATGCTTCATGACCTCGGGCAGTCTTTCAACAGCGTCATCTCAGTGCAACATCAAGCCCTAAACCCTAAACCCTAAACCCTAAACCCCTAACCCTACGCCCCTATAAATCGCTCTTCCGAGCTTCAGGAAACGGTCAAGCTACATAGGCAAGTATACCTTGAACCCCTAAACCCTTAACCCTAAACCCGAAACCCTAAACCGCAGAGAGCCCTAAAAGGAGGCCTGTGGGCTGCGAGGTTTGGGGGCCATTTCTCATTCTTTCGGGGTCCGCGTTCTTTCAGAAAACCACCCAAAAGACTCCCATAACCAAAAGACTCCCTCTGAGCCTATGTATGGGGTCCCGTTTGAGGGGCTTCGACAACTTGCAGGGGGAGAGGACAGACTTGTCTGAAGCGCTCAAAAGACTCCCGCCTCAACTCCGCGATGTCTGAATTCGAAGCCATTGACCTGAGGAGGCCCCTTTATAATCCCTCCCCCCTTATAGTTATATTATAGTATAGGGGGTTTTAATATTAGGAGGTAGGGGGGGTTTAGTATTTGGGGGGTGGGGGTTAGTGGCTTCAGCCTCAAACTGGTTTACGGAGCCACGCGCTGACTTGAAGTTATCACCGACCTCAATCTTCAAGAGCCCCCTAGACCCTAACTCCTAAACCCGGAGAAGTCACCGAAGCCCAGCGATGCTCACGCTCCATCCTTCAAAGGGAAGTCTTCCACACCATACTAAGGAACATCCCAAACAAGAACCGTAGATCAGGCGGGCCACGTACAGGGAGACGGTAACTTCGACCACCTCCAGCCATGGACATGTTCAGCAGACTGAAGGAGTCAAATGGTATACTGGATGAGATGGGGTTTGGGGTTTGGGTTTGGGGTTTAGGGTTTAGGCTTTAGGGACCCTCAAGTAGCGTTAGCATTTCAAGAGAGATACTGTAGGGCTGAATATGGCAGCCAGGTGTTTCAGTGCCCACGGCCTAACTAAACCCCATCACGAGCCAGCCAAGCTTCAACCCTAAACCCTTATAAACCCTAAACCCTAAACCTCTCTTTCATATATAACTTACATGTTTATGAGTTACGCAAGGTTAATTTGTTTTACTGGGCAAGGTCATTTTTTACTGGGCAAGGTCGTGCCATAAGTGAAATATTTCTTAATGTTGTGGGATTCTTTGGGCGGGTGTTTTTCAGGAGTACTTTCTTGACTAGTGAATGCTTGGGCTTGAAATGCTAAACCCTAAACCCTCAACCCTAAACCCTACTCACTGTAAAGGAACCTGCGTCCCAGCCTCATCCTCTGAGGACAAGAGGTGCAGACTTTCTTCACCTGGAGGGCCATCCGGGTTCGGAAATTGTACTTTACCCAGGGGACCCGAAATTGGGGTCCTTTATCCTATGACTCCAATTCCATGAAGGTCATATGAACGATAAACATCAAAAGAACCCCCAAAGTCTGATCCTAATATCGCAATACCATGTACCCTGTCAGGGTTCATTGGGTGCCCAGTGGTAGCGTTGGTGAGAACACGATGCAGTGGCAATGTAGACTATATGTGAGCTGTGATCTAAATTCTTTCATCCCGAAAGAAATGTCTTCGCGGAAAAAATCTTTCGCAAAACTTTCGCGGACCCATCGCGGTGCAGGTTTATGCTATTAGCCCAGATCAAGGTCTAGATCCCTAAGCTTCAACAAGCCAAATTCGAGCATTAAGGGTAGATATGAATCCCAAGAATAGCCAACACGCACCTCAGGTGAGTGCTGTCCTTGGAAAGGCTACCTCGACTTACGCGGGGCTTCCGCGGAACTTGCAGGGCTTTAAAGGGTTTAGAGGGTGACACCGTGGCAGCCGCAGAAAGTTTGGGAGTGGCGTGGTTCTCCTACGGGAGCAGGGGCTGCCAAATTGCACATAAGCTGTACGAGCGTTGCTCTAAAGGTCCTTGTGTGGCATTTAGTATAACCCCACACGGCATTAAGACCTGCCTCTGCGAAAGATCCGCATGTTTTTTTTCGCGAAAGTTCTTTCGTAGCCCAGGTCTTAGTCTTGTTCCATGTTGCCAGCATCTTGCAGGCTTTCAGTTTCCTGCTAGACTGCCCACATGGCTATGAAGTACTCGCAGAGCCAAGGGGCTCGCTGATCAGCACCTCACCCACAATCCCTCAAGTCCAACCACCGAGAACTTCTCCGTAGCCTCTCAAACTAGAGTCCTCGCAACCCTCAAACACTCAACTATGCTTTCATGCCCTATGCAACTGAAGCTCCTGCATGCAGAGTTAGCAGACTCAAGATCCGGAAGCACTTCTTAGGGCTGGATATTTGGCGAAAGTTCTGCGTAAGCTGCAAGCCCTGCGTATCGGAACCCCGACAAACCCTTCAGTAAACCCTCTGAGTCCCAATCAACCAGCCAAGCTTCCCATTAAATCGCCGAGGAACGGATCGGAACGCCCCGGAGCGGCTGGTTTAGAGTTGCGTCGTACCTCCACACGGATGCGCAACTAAGACCAGGATGGGCGATTATGCCTTATAATCCTTGAAAAAGGCCCTTTAGAGGGGTTGGTGATGGGGATGATAAGGCCTAATAACCCTAAACCCTAAACCCTTTTGACTCGGGGAGCTGAAGCCCGATCACTGCACACCCTAAACCCTAAACCCTAAACCCTAAACCCTAAACCCTAAACCTGGGACCACCCTTCTGTTCTTGCGGCCATCGGAGAACGAGGCCGGCCCTACAGGTTCTACGCCTGTTCAGAGCTGGGCTTGAGGGATCAAAAGCAAACCAATGGGTTTAGGGTTTAGGGTTTAGGGTTTAGGGTTTAGGGTTTAGGGATCGTAATGCTGTAAGTGCACAGATACGCAGAAGGTACTACCTTGCAGTGAACCCTAAAATTGAGGATGATTCCTATCAAGAACCATAAACCCTTCTAAGGTTCATTGGGTCCTCAGGGCAAAGGAATCGCAAGCCAAAGCCATGGCCCCAGGGCGGCGCACGAGAGGACCTGAGGCAACAGAAGCGTTTGCTTTCAGTCGTTCTAAGTGGGGACCAAGTGAACCCTAAAAGGGCTTATGGGGTTCATACTACCTTGATAGGAATCATAGCAGTCTAGGGTACATAACCCCAATGTTCGGGTTCTTTTGGTCCCCAAGGAATGTGTGTGTGTGTGTGTGTGTTTTTTTTTTTTTTTTTTTTTTTTTTTTTTTTTTTTTTTTTTTTTTTTTTTTTTTTTTATCTGGGGTTCTCTAAGTATGGCCCTTAATTTTGGGCCCCTTTTTTTATAAACCTTGATACACACTATACAGAAGAAGGGCCCATACTCAGGGCCCAACCTTCTAGCATCTAGACCCAGGAGTATCCTAGGAGTAAGAAGGGTGCCCTTTTGGGCTCAAGGGGAGTTGTAATGGAACCCAAGCCCTAAACGCAGGGAATGAGGGCCTACTCTGGGTCCTAGTCGTCAATGTGGGCTCGCCTCTTTGGTTCTCTCCATCTTCAGCGCACATCACAAAACTCAGGCAACTGAAGCAACTCTCTTAGGGGACCCAATGAAGCCTAAACGGGCTTCTGGTTCAGATAACTTTTTATAGGAATTAGAGTAGTATAGGGTATATGACCCTAACTTTGGGGTCCCCAAGCAACTGAAGCTACTTTGAGGGCCAAATGAGAATTTGGGGTCGTGCTAGAACCCCTACCATCGTATAAGGACCATAAACCCTTTTTGGGCACTGCTCCCTTTTGCCAAGCCAGCCTCTAAGCTGGGGCCGGAACGCCCACCACACGCCTGGGCGAGGCGTTCGCAGCCTGCGAGAATGCGGTAGAAGCACTTACGGCAGTCGAGGGAGTACCAGTACGGTCCCTTTTTAAGCATCCTGCCTGCAATATGCCACATCCTGGGCTATTCTGCCATATAATCCCTTAAGAAGGCCCTTTATAGGGTCGCTTATGGGAATTATAAGGCTGGCCCATCCTGGTAGGGTCCTAGGGTCCTCCGCTGGTCCAC